CTTCCCGCACATACCATTTCAACTCTCTTTTTTGGAAAAGTTTAGAAACTGTTTAATATCATGAGAAATTCAGAGCCAGACAAAGGCCAGACATAACTGGAGTACTATAATAAATTCAGTCTAAAGGTATTTTAATTTTTAGACTCAAGAGAATTTGGTTGGTGGCTAGACCAGACATCCAAGTTTCATCTGACAGTGAAAATAATATTAGTCACACAACATCCTACTATGGAGGTGTTTCATTCATGGCACCTACCATCATCCAGGACAAGTGCCCCTCTTCCCTAGCCTCCCTCTGCCCAAACCAGGACCTGAGTTAGATTGACCAAATGAAGGGAACTTGTGTGAAGCCTACAGCATTTTCACAGGGACAGAAGCTCTCAAACAAAGCACAGCTGATGGACATCCACAAAATCCACACTTGGATTTCAGATATTTTGTTCTGCAAAGATCTAATAATAAAAAAGCATTTCGGCCTTTTTAAGTCTGAGTGAAAACAGTCTTGGTTTAGACCAGACATCTCTGTAGTTCATCCAGCCCCACCAGAAAATTGAAAAAACTGAAATGACTAAGGCATGTTCTCAAAAGGAGTGCAATGCATGCAACAGCATTAAAGATAAAAAACAATATACTTTAAAAGTGGTTCCTTCCATTTAAATAGACTGACAATGTAATAAACCAAATTAACAAATCTCCATGTATACACAGAACCAAATCATTTTAACTGTGGACTCTAGGCAAAATCCTGCAGCCTTTTTAAATGCAAAAGGAAATTAAAAGTGCTCAGCATTGCTCACACTAGATCATTACTTACAACCTACTTCAGATCCATGCTGACTCACAGCAGTTTGGTGGCACGCAAGCTTTCTTAACAACCATTTACCACCACCCATCACTGCAATACCAGGCACATGAAGACCAGAAATCCTCTTCTGTGGAAGAGCTCCCACATCTGCATTCACAGAGTATCAAATATATCTTGCAAGTGGCAAAAAACAAGGTATGCAAGCACAGATGGAAAGCGAGTCATGAAGGATTACTGCCGAGGTAAATGGACCATTAAAAAGCAAATAGCATTCACTCCTACAACCAAAGTTTCATTCCTGTACAGTCTCATAAAAGAAACAAATTCCTAAGGAGGAGGCAATGCTGACACTTTCTTTTGAATCACAGCCATTAAGGAATCTGTGTTTATGCTGCAAGTTAGTGATTTTAGCTGCAGTTCAGCACTCATTCACTCTGGGATCGGGTGGCAGGCGTTTTCAGTAGGTCAAAACACCACACACACCTCAGGCTAAAACGGGAAACATCCTTATAAGCAAAAAAAGAAACTCCCAAAAAGCACTTTGCTCACACACAGCGGGTGAAGATGTTCATTTTCTGGGGAAACAGGCCCGATTACTCCACAAGACGGCTGTGTTTGCCGGATGCCCGACTCCCTGGGGATGTCTCGAGGGCTGCCCAGGTTCTCACGTCCAAAAGCAAGTCTATGAACTTGCAACAACAACGATATCAACGTCAGCTGCTCTAATTCCCTTAAACTCGATAAGCCAAAGAACCTTAATTCATACAGCAGCAGGGGAAGGGGGGGAAAAAAAAAAAAAAAAAAAAAAGAGAGAAAAGCAACGTTTTATTGAAGTCCTCTAAAGCCCAGATGCCTATAACTCAACTCCACCGCCGGTGGCATAAAGCCTGCATTGTGCACATCGGCTGCCGACTCTCCTGGGAATGCCTTTGATGGATTTTGACAGTATCCTGACCTGAAGTAACCTGAGGCAGCCCTCTCCCTCCACCCCTCCAGCCCGGTGCCTCCAAAGGCCTCTCTGTTCACCTCCCCGCAGAGGGAGATGTAATTACATCATTCCTCACAAGCCAGCAGTCATGTCCCAGCTGCTTTGAGCGATTTGCCCTCTGAACCTGATGTTACCGAGGAGGACGTGGCGATACTAACAATAGACCGCACTTGTTGGCCAACAGCTTTGTCAGACAAGTTGCTGGTCCTCTCCGCAGGGAGGCAGAAATGCTCAGGGAGAGGGACACGCCCCGAGGAGATGCCATGAGCTCCAGGAGGTCCCCAGCTCAGCCAGCAGCAGGGAGTTGAGCTGTCTAGAAAGGATCTCCTCCAATACTGGGGGGATGGATTTAAGTGCACCTTTAGTGCTGCAGTTTAGCGTGAGCCTCCTCTGCCTTGAGAGCCATGAGTAGGTGTTACCACTCTCTCAGCACGCACACACGCGCGCACACACACACACACAAGTCCATTCCTTCTTCCTTTGGTTTGCAACACTGAAAAGGTGAAGGGGGTTATCTGAAGGGCTGTCCTCATGGTTTAGCATGACAGCTCCCTGCAGGACACAAAGTGAGATGTGCTGGCTTTGGCTGCAGACATCACAGAATGGGCTTGATCTTCTTTTGAAACATTTGTGTTTTAACAGCCACCCACCGGTCCAACTGACCTTACCTTGCCCCAAAACCAGCTTCCAACCCATGAGTAAGAAGTCTCCTCTGTCCTGAATTTTCTCAACATGCTCCACAGCCTCACAGCTATCATGAAGACCAGAGGAACCACGCTGCAGGTCTCTAAAAAGTGTCCCAAATCTCCGTGTACTGAGCCTGAAAGACCTCCTCCATCCAACCCTACATCTCTGGGTAGGCTCTGCTGAACGCACGTCACTGCGCCGGCAGCAAGCACAGGAAGAGAGACACCCTTCAAGGAGAAGTGAAAATGTTTAACACAAAGTAATTGCAGAAAACCACTTTACCGAGGAATACCCTTTGGTTTTAAGAAGCTCGTACACGCGTGCAGTGTGGTAGAGGTGTGGATGGTGTGGGAGGGAAACATACAGCTGGTTTATCTGTGCTTCCAGTTTCCGTGGCATACATCACCCACATGTTAGTATTTCTGAATAATCCTTTGAAGGGCAATCAGACCTTTTAAGTATCAAAAGCTACTGGGGAGGCCTAGGTAAGGTTGGAGCATTATTTTCTGTTAGTTCTAGATTTAAATCTTTTGATTAAAACAAGTAGTCTTTTCTCTTGCATGCTCAGCAGAAGACATTCAAATGGGTCTTGTTGCTGATCAGGCTGATTTAAGCTAAGCCAGTCCAAACTGCAGCACCTCACACCGTACTCATGTGGGACCACAGCAGAGCTGTCTCCCAGATGAAAGTTCTCGGCCTGACATCAGCATTAGTTTATATGGAACAAAAAAACCCACCCACACCCTGCAAATTCTTGCTGGCAGCTCTCTAATTGCCACCGTACTGGAAAGGGCATCATAGGATGAGTCTCCTTCCTGGAAACACAGAGTACAGACTTCCGAGAGCCGATTATAAAAATAGAGATGTGGTTTCTCCAATGATGGTGCATTTCTCAGTCATTTTTCTGAGTCCTAAGC